ATGGGGCCCAAATGGGGCTCCCATTTGCTGAAATACCATGAATTTCGATCCCCCATTCCAAACGTGAGTACCCCAGGCCATTTCCGTTACAATATCTATCAACTATCACATGAATACGTATTGTGAATACTGAATAATTTGGATCGTGAACGCTAAGATTTAAGTAGTTATTATTCTATAACTGGTCTTATGTATAAGTAGATGACTTCTATAAGATTGCCTGGGTATCCTGAGGATAAGCCTAATCATGTAATTACTATGTACTATGTATTACTGGTTTTAAATAAATAAATAAATAAAAGTCTAAGAATAAAACTAACAAACATATTTTCCATTAAAATAAGCTTAGCAAAACATCGACGGTTCCTTAATAAGTGCATGTATATTTACAAGCACCCTTATTCCGAATGCATCTTCCTAAAAAAGTATACTTGAATTTTATGATTCTTAAAATAAATTCTACATAACATTAGGAAGCAATTAATTTTAAAAACCATTGGTCAAAAAGGCGCAAATACCAGAAGTTGAAAAATTAGCAGCTCCGAATAGAACCTTTTACGAGATCCATCGCGTCGCCTATTCCCCTGCACATGTGTATAGTAAATCTAGTTAGTGGATCTTTTGCCCTTTCGGCTCATTGTTCCCTGCGAATCACACTGGGGTATTAACAATATAAACTGATCGGAAATTTAAAAAATCAAGTATGCGCTCGTTTTTAAAAATGCTCATCAATGACAAGTCGACACAAATTCATCATTTGTGATATTAGTCTCTGATCGAAATTGTTTTTTTAAACAGATAATTCTTTAAAAAGCTTGAAATTAAAAGAGGATTATATAATAAGTAAATATCTAATATTTTGAAGGATGAACATTTATCTGCATTATACAGGGTTAGTCAAAAATTCCGCAACAGCCAAATATTTCAGAGGATTGCGTGCAATTTTTTACAATTTTGTACCCTGGAATTTTGAAGTATACTTGGTCCCATGATTATGTGCACAAATGACAAGTTTAGTAGTTCTAAGATTTTTTATGTGACAACACTGGAGCATGATGTATTGTTAACGGATTTCAGTTTTACTGTGAGAACACTGGAGCAGTTTTTTCTATTTTGGCCTAAAAGGAGCAAAAAGTAGCAGCCAGTTTTTTAACCATCAAAAAGCTGGATGTTTACTGAGAAATAAGTATATAAAAACTTAGCTGGATTCAGAAAATTAGTTAATTAAACCTCTGTTCAATTCATACTTTCTGTTTTTTACATGATTTCTTAACACTCTTATATAAAATTTTTACTTATAAAGATCACTTTTTGAAATTATAATGCTAAAATAATACATCTGCAGGTTGCTGATCCATCTTAAATCGCAGCCCAGTTTGCATGTAAAAAGGACACAGCGTCAAATCGAAATGATGAATTTACACAAAAAATCAGAATTTATTTAAGATTTGCTCTAAGGCGACGACTTTGACGTAAAAGCTGCATGTTTAATAATTCTGCAGTTCGTTCCGTTCGACGTTCGTGAAGTTGCCATACCGTTACTGTTGCTGTTGTTCGCGTTTTCATTATTTATATTGTGCAGTTCGCAGTTGCCAACGTTAGAGTTTGATTGGTCAGATTGTATGCTCATATGATTTAATGTTGGTTATGATGACCCAGTAATACACACATTAATGCAATTATATCGTTTTAATATAAAATGTCGAGTTTGTCTTGATCTAGACGCAATCTACTTGCTTTTACGTTCATTTTAGTTTCATATTTGCTATTGAAGGACAAGCGTCTCTAGTAACATACTTGAATTTCTATTTCACCATCCTACCAGATCTATTTAGCACGGTCGCAAATTAAGCACACGCATGGTTTTTACCGGGTACTTTTACAGTTTATGTGCTTCTAAATTGTACAAACTTTCATAATACGCTGCTGAAGTCTGGATCCGCAACAAAAATAACTTGATCTGCCATCTTGCCAGAAACAAACAAAACGCGGCTTCATTTCGACAAATGTCACTCAGTCACTCACGTGATATGAAACTCTTTCATTGGTTAATAACCAATTGCACAAGCGACGTCGCCGGCGAAATTACATTTGGTTAATTAGTAACGGCATGTTTACAGGTTCTGTGCTCCTACATTGTACAAACTTTCATAATACGCTGTATTACAAGTGTCAAATTTCTAGTTAACGTGTGGTTATAATTTTTGCCACCAGGGGGGCGTTCGGACTTTTGAGCTCGCGAATTGTGTCGACTTGTCATTTATGAGTATTTTTAAAACCGGCCCATATTTGATTTTTTTGATTTTCGATCAGTTTTATATTGTTAATACCCCATTGTGCAGTGGTTGGAAATAAGGCTTCTAGAGCATCTGCTACAAGGTGAAACTTTAAAATTAGAACCCTGTATATGAAAGCAGAGACCCTTTATAGCGTGTATGGAAACAAATAATACACATGCAGACAATCTGATACCATTACAAAGGCGTTATTTTGCGAACCACCGTACTTTGTGGAACAAAATATTTTGCAGTTTTTTGTATATTTTTTTATCAGTTGTATAACTAAAATAAGTGTAAAAGCTGGGATAGTCATAAAATATAAGAATAAGTTATATTCCAGTCCAAGTTTTATGGGTGTAAATAACAGTGAGAATATATGAAGCCAATAACTGTAAACAAATAATTCGAATAAACTTAAAAACTGTTAAAAACAAATGTGCTTTTCGTTCAATCGTGCAAATTGCTATAAACGAATAATCTTCCACAAATTACCAAATCATTAGCATTAGAACCAATATAAAGATTATAAATTCAAATAAGTGACCAATTTAGAAACCGAATATCACATTCAGCTTTCAGCAAACATTTGGAAATTATACCATAAGAAATGTTCCGATAAGTTATCAATTAAGTAAACATTATCAGATAGAATTGAAAACTGTATATATTCAGGTTTCTGCACGGTTCGACATACCCTCTTCATAAATTCAGTATACCCAGTTAAATAAAGTACGCTAATAAATACTGTGTTTATATCTTGTGCCTACCTGGGTGATTTTAGCATGGCAATCTCTAAAGTGAAGCTGTTGAATCTTTAGGTGAATCTGCTTCTGCCCGATGATTGGGTTAGTCTCCCGATTGGGCTCCAGTCCTCCATGGATAAACGAAGATAGATGATTGAAGAACCTGCGAGGGAAATTTAACATCAAAAGAATTCATATATAAAATAAAATAATTATTAGCCAACAAGAGTTTGTGACAATATAATCACAATATACCACACGATAACAAGAGCGTTAATTTTTCAATATGTTACCTATGCTGATGGCTTGGGTCCCGATTCAGCAAGGTGTAATACTGCCGAACGAACTCTCTGCCAACGCTTTGGGGAGATGGTGGTGCCTCCATTACCATTCCTAATGATTTTGGACTTGGATGAGAAAAATTATAGACTGACAGTGACGACAGTGATCTGAAACAAGAAAACGTATTTTGTAAAAAAAACTAAGTAAAAGTATGAGACAATTTTTCGATACAAATGAATTCATATTTTTGGCTTAGAATGAAGATTGTATATAATATTTACTATGAACAAACCTTGCATGGATGAAGGTTTGATGGATGATAACTTAAGAGGCAGGCAATAAAAGGCAAAGGAAATAATTATAACTCTGATGCAACAGAATCCATATGAAACAGAAACAGTTCATTCTAATTTATTATATTTTATTAATAGAGCTTGCCATTATTGGATAAAATCCGGTACCTTTTGCTAGAAAATACTACATATCTCGATGCAAACCAGCAGAGCTTACAGAAGTACCGGTCTTAACTACATATACGAAATGCAATGGAATAAAATAAAGGACAATACTGTATTGTTTTCGGGACCAAAGTCCATTTGTATAAACAAATACTAATATTTGCTCTCTAATAATGGATATATCCAATTATCACCTTCATAATTTTATTTGTCATGGTATTTAGTTCTTGTCTACTCGACATGAGAGGAGACACTGTCACAAATATGAGAGGGGGACGAATATCAATCACGAAATGGTTTGTGACCTGGGCGTTTATTTTCATGCGTCTACGTGAGCACTCCCGGGGAATTTATGTACTACCGTTTGAGTCTAGACCAGGCGAGTGACGATTCACATGTCTGAAAATCTTACTATCATGAGCAAACACAAAACTGACTGAATCAAGAGTTTGGTAATCTGTGATACAGAAATAGGTTAATATCGCTTGTAAATATCGAATTCGCTCTCACAGATTTTAGGCAATCGGCAATACGAGAATTCCCTGGGAGTGCTCACGTAAACGCATGAAAATAAACGCCCTGGTCTCAATTTGACAACTCAAAGTATCAAGTATCACTTCAGATGAAAATAATGGTGTTGAATTGAAAAATAAAGAAGAATTGACGTATACAAGGAACAATCTACTAAGAAAATAAGCAAAATAAACATAAAATGACAATGTAATAATTCAGAACCTGGAATCTAGAATATTTCCCCGGATGGTCCTACGTGCTACTTAATCTTTGATGACGCATGAAAAACTAAAACATTAAGTCAGTATGAAACTGTTGGAAAAATTCAAGCTGAATGAATTTATAATAGCTTTGTTATAGATTTTTTTTAACTGAACTTGGTTTATACAGAGCGTAACACACAAGTAACAGAATATAAGCGAGCTCCCGATACCGGGCAATTAAAACCGTTTTTTTTTGCTTCGACAAAGTACAGGTTAAATCAGGTTTAACGAACAAAGCTGCGTCTCATCGATCGTTTTCTCTCAAAGAAACGCATTTCATCACCTTCCAGTTCCAGTGTTGTACCTGCACCAACTACCAATGCAAAAAACTGAACCTTAAGAACAGATCTCTACGGGTACGAAAAATAAAAAACATCTCGAAGCATTAACTACTGATCTGATTGAGACCAATTTAAGATAAAATGTATTGCAATTATGTAATTAAAAAGGAGATTTCCAAAATCTGACCACTTATTTCAAGAGAGATCACTGCATGTATAATTGTATGCTTTAAGTACGCGTAATATATCCAATTGGATGCTATTAAAAGTTCAAATATGCAACAATCGGAAAAATTATTCTATACTGATGAAATGTCATGACCCTATATACACACAGAACATCCGGCAGTAGGTGGTCGGTTAGACGTTGCTGAAAAACACCTAAAAACCGGACTTATGCTAATAAGATATGAAATGAATTATACATCAAATAACACTTTCATAGCTCATATTACAGAATATTTTCAAGTATGCATTGTCTTCTTTTACAAACACTTGCACTTTTACAGTGCAACAGTACCTAAATAGGTAGTAGTGTAGCTACACTTTTATTTATTTTTTTTTATTTCAAGCTCTAATAGTTATCCAGATTATCACTAATCTCCATTTTGTTCGCACTAAGAAAGGTGACTTCGCAATGCCATACAGAGCAGTCGTAAAGTCAATATTTTTAATACAACTCCTTGTATATTCGCAAATTACCGCTGAATTAACTGAAAAATGGTCTTCATATTGCTATATAATATAATTTTTAGTTTTCTAAATAATCACACATTCTTATGCAACAATTTTTTCCAAAAAACAGATACGAACGGAAGTGATTGTACGAAAGCAATTTTAGAAGTTATAAAATATAGATGATCAAATACAGGAATGACAAACCAACTTGAAAGGAACAAAATGTTATTAATGTATTTGCTCAATTCTATGCCTATCCAAAACGTAAGTCCAAAATGCAAAAAAGTCATTGGTTTAACACTTTAACCTTGAAACAACTTTGGAACACAATATATCAAATGTATCAGTAATAAAACCTTCAAATCTGAGGATTATAAAAGACAAAAACTCTTTTTGTGTGTGCATTTTAAGTTTCATTTGAGAAAAGTCCAGTTTTTACGTACCACGTACCTAACCCAGATGAAACAGTAAATCTTCAAAGGAACACTATTTTCTAAGCCAAGACAATCCAAGGGTTACAATAATAACAATTTGAAAGAAAGTTAGTATTGAAAGCTAGAGCATTGGTGACTTGGATTCATCCATAAAGCCTTATATAAAGTAGCCGACTTCTTAACGTACGTAACGTAAAGATAATTTAAAACATTTATTAAAGTACAGTTTGTCCTAGTACCTATTTATTTAAATATTTATGCATCGAAATATAATGCATCATTCGAAAACATTTAGAGTAATAAAATTTTGCAAATTGTCAAACAGGATATTGTAATTATAACATTACATTTTTAGTCTTTTTGAAACAGGAAAGTTCAAGCTGACTGAAGCAGTGCATATGTATTTGTCTTAAACGTTTACGTTTTCTCAATGTCGATGCAGAGTTTAACACAGTTTTTCATTTTTTACTTTTATGACGAACACAAAATAGAAAATAATAACTAAACGAAGGCTTTAATTTTTTAGTTAGTCTGTATAAACCGCCACGTTGAACTAGAGCAAGAAAAGGTAGGTAAATTTCCCAACGTTGCAATGACAATATAGCTATAGTTTTATCACTAAAGAATAACTTTTTTCTTTTATTTTGAGGAGGCGCATGCAAATTCAAATCAACACCGATGAAAACAAAAATGTTAGATGAATAACCAAATAATCATATGATTTAGACAGAACATAATACATACATCTGATTGGCTGCTCTTATCCCTTATAGGTTGCGCTATTTCACTTTATAAACGCCATACATTTAAAACATTAAATAACATATTAACCCAGCATAAAGTGATTTTAACAGATTTTCAACAATATCTTGATATTACCTGTTCAATTTGAATAGTTCTGTTCGCGTCAGATTTTGACCCTCTTGCCCAAATTATGAAAACAATTAATTCATGAGCTTTGATAAATCCTACTTAATTTTCTTAGGTTTTTTCAACATTGACTGTACCGAAATTTACAAAAAAAACAAATTGTTAAGTATTGCACGTCGAGTAGTTATGCTGCAGCAATAATTAGAACAAATTTCGTTGGCTGCTATTAATTTCAGGATGATTCCAATGTTGATCTGACTGATGAATAAAATTTGAAAGATATTGTTTTATGCGGCCGACTCCCTAATATTCTAATAGGTAGTTGATTTTCGATAGAACTTGTTATATCAACCTACCCTTCGTTTGCTGCAAGGAATCACCCCCTTGAAATTGTGCACATTCGTTTTGAATTATCCTGTGTGCAGGAATATTACAAATAAAACTTTATTAGCGCTAAGGGCCAGCAGCGAAAACTGTTTTGTAGCAAAAATGTTGTATTCAGTTTTATCAGTAACTTGGCACGAACAGGCAATTTTTAATTAAAAAAATAACTGGCTTTTCTTGCCACAACGAGAATGATTCTTCAATTTTTTGTTGAATCGAGACGATCTAGAACGTCCTCAACGCAACAACGTAGAACGTAATTATAATAATATAAAATAATCATTTTCATTTTCAATTCACTTGGGTGACGATATTGATGAAAAAACATCAAATGATCAATAAACATCGCCAATTTGAGAAAATTTAGAAATAAGGCAATTGCAATTGATTAATTCAAGGCAGTACATGTATATGTTGTACCTGTTAACATATCGAGATTGAAATTATGGAGCACGATATATTATTAGTCATCTATCGATTATAAAAAGAAATCGATTGCCATTATTTGACTTGAAACAACACCCTGTATATTGGAAACTAAGCGGTTTTTAATAGGGTATATTAAGGAAGTATATTTAAAAGTACCTGTACTAAATCTTGCTGAATAATTCGATTTACCTAACACAACTCTTATAACTAGAGAATCAAGGAAAGGTGTAATCCGACTCCACCAGGACTTGATAAATCAGAATCTAGCAGTGAAATATATCAGCAAATAATTGTCTTCATCTCGATCCATCTCCCTAGTGCTTTTGCATCTAGGAAAAAGATCAACACGTGGCTACCCAGTAACACGCTATCTATCTATCTATCAACTTCTTCAGCTAATCGCAATCTTCAAACACGTCTCCATCTAATTCCTGGTAAGAATTTGGCTTCTTTGTCCTTTCAAACAAAGAACTATACAATGTACACCAGAATAACACTATAAGATTTTCGTACTTGTGACCAAACGGAGGACATGTCATGATTTGTTTCAACCCATAACTTTCAAATGGTTCAAATACAATAGAACCTTTTCCATGCCCTTTAGGAGACTTGTAAACAAGTAAATGTGAAACTCTGGTGCCTAAAGGGCCCAGAGCAAAAAATACTCACGAGGGCCACCATCAAGCAATAACCTCTACGAAATGAAGCAAACCAAAGTCTTGGCGTTTGAGGAATGGGGTCCTGTCAGTAGGATGCATTTATAGAAACAGCAGTATAAAGAAAAAAGTATCTCAATCTCCAACCGCGCAAGAAGATCTAGCAGAATTTAAACAAGTAACATTATGGAGTCCAGACATCAATCTCTTTCGCGCAGTGAATTCAGGACGGAGRACATGTCATGACTTGTYCCCAGCTATAACTTTCACGTKGTYCAAATATAATGGAACCTTTTCCATGCCCCAAGAAAATKCSATTARGGCTGGCGCSTAGAGGGCCTAGAGAAAAATAATCACGAGGGCCACAATCAAGCACATTACCTCTGCCAAATGAAGCAAACCAAGATTTTGGCGTTTGAGGAATGGGGTCCTGCCAGTAGGATGCATTTATAGAAACAGCAGTATAAAGAAAAAAGTATCTCAATCTCCAACCTCGCAAGAAGATCTAGCAGAATTTAAACAAGTAACATTATGGAGTCCAGACATCAATCTCTTTCGCGCAGTGAATTCAGGACGGAGGACATGTCATGACTTGTTCCCAGCTATAACTTTCACGTTGTCCAAATATAATGGAACCTTTTCCATGCCCCAAGAAAATGCGATTAGGGCTGGCGCGTAGAGGGCCTAGAGAAAAATAATCACGAGGGCCACAATCAAGCACATTACCTCTGCCAAATGAAGCAAACCAAGATTTTGGCGTTCGAGAAATGGGGTTCTGCCAGTAGGATAGATTTATAGAAACGGCAGTATAAATAAAAAACATATAATCTCCAACTGTGCAAGAAGGACTAGCTAAATTCAAAATAGTAAGATTATGGAGTCCAGGCATCAATCTCTTTCGCGCAGTGAATTCAGAACTAATCATCTGAGACCCGATAAGGCTAGGATAAGAATTAGGCTTGTTTCAGCTTTCAAACAAAGGAGATTCCAATAATAACTGCACGTGCAAGGCATAGAATATAAAACGAAATCTAGTATTTGTTTTCCTATATAATTCATTACTCCGACACCCCACGCCTATGAGGTAAATTATCCTGGACCTCAAAATAAAACTCATTTTCTCCCAGTTTTCCAGGCTGCCGACGTTAGTTATAGCGAACACCCGGCACGCGAAAATTGATGTTGGGTGTGTAAATAACAAAAGATCTTACCTTGAGAAGCTGGAACTGTGGCTTCAAACGAGAACACTTGCAGCAAACGATTGAAATCAAGAGTACCGGATAAACCCGACCAATATCTTCAAGATTATAACCGAAAATGCAGACACTTCGGATTTGGATTGGGGTGGATACTTCAGACAGAAAATTGGCAAGATATGTAATCGCCGTTGCCACGCTGCTTTTCGGAATTCCTATTTTTATGCACTATCGCAGTAAAACCGTATTTCCATTGAATTAGTTCAAATAAATGTCCAATATCGCTTTTTATTACACGTTTATTGTCCAAGTAAAGGATTCCAAGAGGAGAACCACCTCAAATAAACGAACTTTACTTAATATTTGTCATTGTTACTGTAAGATATATGTGTGTTTATCAATACAGTCGTCTAAAAAAAGACGATTATAATATGATATAATGTTTTGGCGTCAGCAGTGGGCTCTTCAAATAAACAAACATATATGATAATATCATTAATAGAGTAACCTCATTGAAAATGCTCAATACCGGGCAACAGCGCATATTACTTAACAATACGACCAAGGTCGTTCAAATTTACCGGTAATTCGCATGCGCAACCGGAAACGACTCCATTTTTATGCTCTCTCGAATAGCAGGGCCGGCCACACTCTATTATTGTGTACTTGTATACAAGCTTGCCAGGTCTACCGTTTTGACGGTAGATCTACGGTTTTCAGGGTGGGTGCTACCGCCCTCCCCTTGAGCCATAAGAAGCTACCGTTAAAACCTTGGATTAAAGAAGTTTAAGGTTTTAAATAGGTAATTAAGGTTAAAACTAAAAAAGGAAGTTTTCCCAACTTAATTTGTTGAACACGAAACGGGGAAATTTATTATCCACAAATAGTATTGTTGGTCTAATGCATTCGGAAGAATTTAAAAATTGATCAGATGCTATTGCAATATCATAATAGTAACACGTACAAAAGGTCTGATAGCTTTTCTGACTCCGAATAAGTTATTTGTATCTATTGAAAAATAAAACATGTTTTTTTTATCAAATGATATATTTTCAAAAATCTTTTGATCATAATTTATTTTTAAGGTAGATAAACCTTATGTAGAACGGAATTACTATTTTTTATTTCATATTATCGCTATTCTTTAAGGCTGGAACCTAAGACATAAAAACATAAAATAATCGAGTTTTACTCTTTTGTAGAAACTTTTAAAACATTTTTTTCACCTAACGCCCGTTTCGCTAGTGCTGCCATCTATCTTCGCATTTGACAAGTTTTGACAAAGTAATAAAACTCAGTGATTTTGTTTTAGATTTTTTTTGAATTAAGTTATTTAAATGAAATATATTGTTCAAAAGTACGTTCGAAAACCACTTTAAAAAATACGAAAAACAGAAATTTGGGACATTTTTCACACATGCACACCATTTTTTGCAGGTTTTCTGACAACACTAATTGTGTAGATTTTCGCTTATTTTACATTAACTAGCTTATTAACAATCGACCACAATTGAGTCAAAAATTCGAATTTAAAAAAATAATAATAATGAGACATAAATTTGTATAATGTATGTAACATAATGTATTAATACATCAATAAAGAATTATTATTACTTCTTAGAAAATTTTAACCTATTTAATGAATAACTTAAATCAAAAATAAGAATTATCACTGTTAAAAATACTAATATAGCGTAAAATAAAAGGTACACTGCAGCCGTAGGTTGATGCCACCATCCTAATACTAAAAAATAAATAATGGGGACAAGCCTAATTTCAAAAAAGCGGTGATGGCTGTGTTTATCACATTCTGCATAAATCATAAATAAGTTTAAATAATCTTCGTTTGTATAATTTAAGCGTCTGCAGATAATTATTAATTAATTTCAAAAGGTAACTGACAGCTGTAAGCATTGCTTTGGCAGTTGATGTATTAAAAATGGCCACTCTCGTCCATTGAACTATATACTAACTGGAACGGCATCGAGCACCGAAATCGCGTGCCCGCTTGGATTTTAGGCAACCAGCATGTGGTAGGTATTCCCATCCTTGTCTGGCACGTTTGATGTGTATTAGACAGGTGGGACTGATTTGATAAATTCAACTAGAAATACAGGTAAAATAATATATCGGGCTGTCAGGGCTACAGAGAGTGAAAGGCAAATATCTGTCTGTACTTTTACAGAAAAAAAAATATTTAAGGAGATGTAAATATCTTTAAATAATGAAAAACAATGTGATTTACTTCATACAGATTTACCACCATCATGTAATAGCATACTTTTCTAGTGCATAAACTAACACTTTTCCGCGCGACACGACAGGAAAGAAAAAAAACGAAAAAGGGGAGAAAGAGTTATAAATAATATTTTTTCTGCAGGTCGCAGGTGTGAACAACTAGTGTTGTTCGATTTGACATTTAATTGGTTTATAAGATACAATGAATTAATAAAAACAATTTTTGAAGTTTTAACTCATTAAAATTACGAAAAAATTAAAAGACACATACAATTCAAAAATACTTTATATTCACAATTAGTAGGTACTTATATAAAAAATACATTAAAACATGCACAAATTAAACATTGTTAAATAGAATCAGTTTATTTAATTTATGTCTTATGCTTGTACCTTTTCCTATAAACTTTTCAGTTTCTTGCCTAGCATAATAATGGCATCTACATGTTAAATAATAGTTAACAATTTCTTTAATTAATTGAATTTCGTGCAGATCTTCAACACCAAATTCTTCAATAATCGGATGAGTTGGTCTAAAAAGATGCAATTTTTCCGAAAAATGTCGAATTACATTATTTAAAATAATTTGTTTGGGCTTCTTGTAGCAATTTATGCCGTTTGGAAATGTTATCTTAAATTGCTTTTMTGAATAACAAACAATAGTATTTACTATTTCTGAAGCACAAATTAAACCGCYTCTATTTACTAAGTTTAAAAACCTATGGCTATCATCTGTACTGCAATAATTATGCTTCATTATTTCCGTATATCTTCTTTGCCTTGGCTCAAGACCCTCATTATTTTTTTGGTTAACAGCGAGTTCAAGTGGCATACTACCAAAGTTCTGCTGCAGAACAGACGTTAAGTCATCTGTACAAAGGCCTGATTTATTCATTCGACTTAATAGTTGAGACATCGAAGAAATTTTGCAATTTCTTCTTCTTACTACTTGTTTCAACGCTCTTATTTTCTTTCTTAGCCCATTATCTGCACTAAGTCCAAAAGATGTTTGGGTTGCAGCATTCTTTTTATCAGCTGTTGATGTTTGCTGTTTTGTTACTTCTATTTCCATATCCATATTGGAAATTTTCTAAAAATAATGATATGTAACTCACATCGTTTCGTCTTGAGAATTTTATTTTGAACTTAGTTTATTATAATGAGCTTTGTTTTGCCCAGACTTAGTGACAGAGATGAATAACTAATAAAAACTTTTATTAAAACCTATGTAAACAATACTTCCAAGAGATGTGAAGAGAAGTTTATAAATATCGAGAAAAATATATACATACCGGTGCAGGTTCAAAGTTGTCATTTGTGTTCAA